ACCCCATGTCAGACTAGTACTGTGTTCCAGAAGGTTTCCAGGACATGGCTTTTCAAAAGGAGGTCACCAGGGCTTTCTTCCAAGGTGCCTCTGGGTGGACTTGAACTTCCAGCCTTTTGGTTAGCAGCCAAATGTGTTAAACCATTTGCACCACCCAGGGACTGAACGGGGATTATTGTGCCCATTTTACAAAGGAGAAAAGTGAAGGGCATCAGGCTCATGTCCTGAGCCAAGGTCAATCCTCTGGTAGTGACCACCTGGGGTATGATTCTGAGAAAGGTTCTGAGGCTAAATATTAGCCCATTCGTGATAACTGCCTCGAGTCTCTGAGTAATGAAAATGGTTAACACTCTTAGCTGCTAACCCAAAGGTTGGAGGTTTGAGTCCACCCAGAGGTACCTCGGAAGAAAGGCTTGATGATCTATTTCCGAAGGATCAGTCACTGAATATCCTATGGAGTACAGTTCACATGGAACTCCAGGAGTTGGAGTTGACTCAATGGCAATGTTGTGATGGCCTCACAGAGAGGAGTGGCAGTCCCCTGCCTGTGTTCTATTTGCTGTCTCTGTATGGGTCTGGGGTCAGATAGCTGATAAGGGCCAAAGCCAGGGTAAAAGCCAGGCTTCTCCCCTTAACCAAGAGCCCTTTCCTGGATTCGACCATGCCTGGAATCCAATGCCCCACTGGTAGCTGAGCTAGAAAGGGCACTCCAGCCCATGTGCATCAGCCTACTTTGCCAAACTTCCTTTCAGGCACCCAGACCCTCAATTCAGGGACTACTACAGCCCCAGAGCCTCTGATCGGGCACTTCTGCCCCATGCATGAGTCCTGGGCCATCTTTCATCTGTTTTTCTCTCTGAGAGGAATTTTATTTTTGGCCTTAGAACAGCTGGGGACAGTGCACACAGTCGTGGCCTCCTGCTGTGTCAGCATACCCTGCCCTGTCTCTCCTCCCTGAAACCACAGGTGCCCAGCCAAGGGGACACGTGGTAAGGAGGGTCGGGTCAGGTTGCAGCACAGCCACTTCTCACGAATTCTGCGTACTCTGCCACAACCAGAGAGCTCCCTACTGCCCCCACCCTGAGGCATGGCAGAGGGCAACCCCAGCTCTACTAGTGGAGGGCAGCAGGGCTAGCACTCAAACCAATCATCCCACACCCTTTCCTACCTGAGCTGGTCTGTGACGATGCTCAAAGCCCAAGAGATAGTCCTATCTTGTCTTTGGGACCCTGCCAATCTCCACAGATTCCCAGGTCCTAGGTTGCCCTAAATAATCCACCAAGGGGAGGCTTAGGCAGGAGGAGTCTCGAGGCCTGGATTCTAGTCCTGTGTGCCCTTGGTACGGTGCATGACCCCTCTGAGCCTCTTTCCTTTCTAATGACAACATAGAATCTTAGAGGGAAAGGGACCATAGAGGCCGCCTAGCCCCACTTACTACCCAAAGAAGGAATCCTTTCCCAGAGCCTCAAATCATGGTCATCCAATTTGGGTTTGAGCTCTTTCAGTGTCAGGGATCTCACAACCTCACAAGGCAGCCCATTTCTCTCCCAGACATTTCCATTATTATGAAATGCTTTCTTAGGTGAATTAAGTAACAACAACAATAATAGCAGCTACTGCACACTGATTGGCAGGTACAATCTTAAGTGCTTTTACCTGTACTATTTCATCTTAATCCTCAGAACAATCCTAAAAATAGATTATCATGTAACAATAAAATATCATCATTCCTTTTGTACAGATAATGAAACAGAGGTACTAAGAGGCTAAGTACCTTGCCCACATTACATAGCTAGGAGGTAGCTGCCTTCTTGGAACTTCATCCTATTGGCTCTTGCTCTGTTCTCTGAGCATCGTGGAATTGGGGGTTCTTTCTCTGTGCTCTGAGCATCATGGAACTGAGGGTCCTTTTTTTGTCCAAGTGACAGTTTTCATTTGAGGCTCAGTAGCCAGTAAGCTGAGCAAGGGTAGAGATGGCCCCTTATTTATCTTGTATCCCTATTCTTAGTAGAACCCCAGTGGCACAGTGGCTAAGTGCTTGGCTGTGAACTGAAAGGTCAGCAGTTTGAACCCGCCAGCCACTCTGTGGGAGAAAGTAAAGATTTACAGCCTTGGAAATCCTATGGGGGCAGTTCTACTCTGTCCTATAGGATCACTATGAGTTGGAGTTGACTTGACAACAATAGAGTTCTATTCCTAGGACAGTGCCTGGTAGGCCAGAAGTTGTAGATGTTCAATGGTCAAGGAGCGAGCTGACAGGGGCACTGGCCCAGGAGTCAGGAGGCCACATTCTGCTGCAGCCTTTCCTGCCGCCCCACCCCCACCCCCTGCAACTGGTGGCCCTGGTGACATGTCCCTTACCCAGACCTTCATTTTTTCATTGGTGAAATCAAAGGGTTAGATTGAGTGTCCCTGAGGTCCCTTCCTGCCTGGTCTTTTGGGGTTCCATTCTAAGTTCCCCTGGGAGAAGTTCTTTCAAAAGATAGCCCTCCCCTAGGTGGAGTTCGCCCTATGGCCAAACCTCCAACTCCCCAACCCTGCCCTATTTCATGCAGTGAAAGGGCTAAACACCTCCACACCCCAATCATACTTTCCTTCCCCAAGAAGCAGCAATTTTAACATGTCCCTTCTTATTTAAATGTATTTTTGCAAACTACGCATTTTTCTTTCATAGGATGGGAATATATTTTTATTTCATATTGGTGGCATAGTGCCTAAGGCATTTGATTGCTAACCAGAAGGCTGGTGGTTCTAATTCACCAGACACTTCCCCAAAGGAAGATTGGACAATCCACTTCCATAGAGATACCACCTCGGAAACCCAAGGAGGGGTCACTATGAATCAGAAAAACAACTCCAGGGCAGTGAGGTTTTTGGTTTTTTATTGTTACATGATATCTCATTGTGTTTTGCACTTTTTTCATTAAGCATTTTGTTTTAAAGATCCAGCTATTCATACATTTAATGTACTGAGCCTCAAAAGAAAGGGCAGCTGCAGGCCCCACCCTTCTTAGAGGCTCAGGATGGTGCTATCCAACATTAAAGTGCCATCTGTAAACCTCCTGGAGATGGGGTATTATCAAGGAAAGGACACTGAGGAGCACCCAGCCCACCAGGCTCTGAACTAGGCTCCTTTCCTTGCGGGAAGCATGGATTATTGGTTCTGAGTAAGCCACAGGGCTCCTTCCTTCCCACTGATATCTAAAATCCCCAAGAGTCAGGCTGGGTTTGTCAGGACTGGGGCTCAGGGCCCAGGCCCCTGCAGACTGCACCTCACAGCACACAGGATCCAGACAGCTCAAACAAGCCTGATAGTACTCTTAAGGACAGGGCAGCCACCAGGCACACACCATGGTTACAGACCCCAAGAGAGTGGTTCTTATTCCCACCCTCATGACTCACTTGCCCTCCAAGGGTGAGGGGTAGAGGTGGGGACCCAGACCATTCCCTACATCCACCTCCACCATCCACTCTTTGACGGCAGTAGAAGCGCTCAGCTCCTGACAGTCAGTGTCACTATGGTCCCCTAAGGAACTATCTGGGAAACTGTAAGCCCTGGCAGAGCTCACATCCCCTAACCTGTGGCCCTCATAATCCCTCAGTGAATGGATACACACCAGTGGGTCCCAAGCACAGCTACACCTCAACACACCTGGCGAGCTTCCTAAATGTACATACAACCTGAATTGCACCCTAGATCTATGAATCCTCTAGGGTTGGGACCTAGGAAGTGCAGCATTAAGGGTTGAACCATATAGGCACCAGGCTTAATGAGGCACCAAATTCAATGTGTCAAAAAATTAAAATATTATCAAAACAAACTAAATATCAAGTAATTAAACAAGTTGATATCGATGGTCCCAAACTAGGTGCCAATGGTGCAGTGGCCTAAGTAGGGCATGTGAAACCCTACTATAGAAAATAGTCTCATATTTAAGAAACTAAAACCAAAACCAAACCCACTGCCATAGAATCGATTCCAACTCAGTGACCTTATATGACAGAGTACTGCCCTATAGGGTTTTTAAGGCTGTAAATCTTTAAGGAAGCAAAATGCCATATCTTTCTCCCATGAAGTGGCTGGTGAGTATGAACCACTTAGCAACCAAGCACTTAACTACTAGACCACCAGAAACTAATTACTGTTTACTTCTTACTTTGTTACTATGTATATGTTTATTGCATTATTTCTATTTGTCAATTTGTTATTTGAAATAAACAAATAAGTAGATTTTGTTTCTGGTGCTATTATATGAAAAGATGTTAAAACCCTGGCCCCAGACTCTGTATGTGTAACCAGGCCCTCAGGTCAATTTGATAGAGGCAACCTCATGCCAGGGATCTGACAGCCCTTGTGTCAGATAATGGAAGTAGAGGTGCAGTTTCCCAATGGCCTTGGCCTCCATAGTTTTTAGAGTTCAGAGCTAATATGGCCCTTGGTATGTGAAGTCTGGGGGCATGCATGGTGAACAGGGATGAGGAAGAGACAGTGGGGTGAGAGAGAAGACAGGAAATATCCAGGCAGGGTAAAGGAACCATGAGAGCTATATGCTCTGCGTGGATGGCAGGAGACACTCAAGTGCTTGAGACAGGTAAGCCCTGCTAGTCATGTGGGATCAGAAATTAAAGAGGACAGAAGGCTCCTTTGGTCCAGGTCCAGCTTGGCCTGGTACCTCTAGGCTTAGCCTAGGCACTACCACCCTACCACCCCCAACACCCCAAGCAATCAGATGGAGGAGGTGGGGGCCCCTGATGAAGCCTGTTTCTAAACCTGCCCCCCAAGCAGAGTCCCCAGGCCAGCTTCCCTTTCTGGCCTGAGTGGTGCTCTGCACCCTTGCTGGTCTGGAGGGTCTGATGGATGTTTCTGTTGATGGCAGGTCCATGGGCAAGGGCCAGATTACTTGCCACATGGTGGACAGGAAGGACTGGTGCTTAGACCTCTCTCAAGGAAAGCGAGGTGCAAAGGGTGGGAAAATGGGGAGAAGTGAAGTGACACCTACCTGAGCTGCCAGCACTCTCAGAAGCACTCCTGGACATCTTAGGCTGGCCATGTTTACCGCTGGCCCGCCCAGACCCCGGTGGGGGGGGGCTAGAGGGGGCAGGGGCACCGTCACCCCTGATGGTGGTGAGGTCTTGCATGCTGAAGCTCCGGAGTCTCTCTGATAAGGCACCCTGTCCCTGGATACAACACAGGAAGGAGCACACGTCAGAGGCCTCACCCACAGACTCACAGACAGTAGTACAGAGGGTCAGATTCAACAAAGGCAAAGAGGGAGCTCTGACAGCTGGAAATTAAGATCTGGAAAGACTCTAAAGAGAGCCAGGTGCTTGGGTGTACTTGCGGGAAACATTAGAGGGGCTGAGCCCCAGGGGCTCAGCAATTGTTCTTCCAGCTCCAGGCTCCTTCTGCTCCTTTACACACACTCCTGAGAAGTTGACCTCGACAAACCCAGGGCCAACTAAATGACTACTGCCTGCAGTTCCTACTTTCTAGAAGTTGTTTGCTGCTTCTCTTGCTTTACGTAAATAAAAACCTTCACGTAGCTACATTTTTCTCAGTTCTCAGTACACAAGAAACTGATCAGAAAATCAAAACCTAATATTCTATGCCCTCAGTTCTCTTTCAAAGGAAATAAAATATAGACAGTATTTTTAATGTCTGACAGCAGTAATTTCTATCTGTTTGGCTCATTACTGTTTATAAGGCACATTTAATTTCATTGTCACATTTGAGCTTCATAAAATACCCAAACAGTAATGACTCAGGAAGGAAAAAATGATATTAAAAACAACCCCTGATGACTGTAACCATTTCCGATTCTGAAGGAGTCACAGAATGAATCTCAGAAGAAACTGTTCTTTTGTTTAGAAGGGGAAGGTAAATCCATTATACTTATGAAAGGGGAGGTCCTTGCTGTCTGGATGAGAGACTCTGTGTCAAAGAGAATGAAAATGATCGTAAGGAAGCTCAAGATGGTGTCACAGCATTACATGTGCATGGCAATGAAGGCAGCAATTCACGTTTCGGGGGAGAAGGAAGTCTAGTGGCTTGGTAGGACACTGGGGTCACTGAGAATTGAGATGGTGTTTGAACAAGAGCTGACAGATAACTAACGACCAGGGAAACGAAGAACTTTCATATCAAGGGAAATACTGGAGGGCATGTAGTCTGGGGACCATGGGTAATGGGATGGCAGTGGAGAGAGGCATCTTATTTGGATAAAGAAAGAGTGGTCCTGAAAGTCTGGAGGACTTGCGGACAATAAGGCACAACAGATATATAACAGAACCAACAATAAACACAAAACCGATTTGAGCAACTAACAAGCAGACTGGTGTTGTGGTGGGATTAAGGAAGCAGGAACAAGGCCTATAGCAGCTTATTTAGAGGCTTCCAGAAATGGGAGAATAGTTTAGGTGCATTTTCACTTAAAGAAGAGAAAGCAGTGAAAATGGATCAAAAGAGCCTAGTGATTCTTTGACGTGACTTTAGTAAAAGAGCCAGATAAAGAAGAAATACAGACTCAGTTAGCTAGAGGCAAGCTGGCAACAAAAGGGACTTTCTCATAGGTTTAAATGGCAGAATGAAGCAAACATGCATTAAAATATGAAAGAGATAGGTTTCCAAAAATAAACCATGTCTCCAGAGAAAACTAACTACAACAAAAGAAAACTGTCTAAATAGTCAAATACAAACAATTAAAATTGTAAAAAAAAGTGTTTGGACAGACATCACCCTTGTTTGCCTCAGACACTGGTCTAGAACGATGGAAGGCCAGGGGTTGGAACACTCAATCCTAGATATTCACCCTGATGGGGCTTTTTCAAGAAAATGAGGGCTGGACTAGCCACCTAGCATAATCTCTTCCAAACAGAACAGCCAAGGAGCCATGATTATTTTACTAAAACATACTTCAGATGACATCTAGAATTTAGAAGAAACTAGATAACTAAAGAACTAAAATAGATTCTGAAAAGGGGAAGAAAAAATTCTGATAATTCTCCCCAATACAGTGTCTCATTCAGCCTCCTATTTATTGATTTATCTGTTCAACAATCATTTATCAAGCACTTTTCATGGGCAAGACACCGTGCTACTTGTTATTAGGAAATACCAAAAACTAGTGTGATTTCTGACAAAACAAAAAAAGACAAATGCACAAATACCACAGAAATGCCATACCAAAAGCAGGAAGTGAAGGTTAAGCACAACAATTCTAGAGTGAGACTTGGGTTCGTATTCCAGTCCGATCACTTACTGTGACCTTACCCTCGCTGTGCCTCAATTCTCTCGTCTGCAAAGTAGCATCTATCTTAAAGGATGATAGCAAGGATTAAATGATATTATGCCTATAATTACAATATCCAGTGTATACTAAGTGGTCAAATAATATCAACTATGATGCTCTTGCTGCTGCTGTTTTTGCTACCTGAGACACATTGCTATTGTTGGAATCAGATGAGGGAGAAATCATTTCTGTCTAAAGGACCAAGAGAAGCTTCATGACCCCAAGTCCAAAATGCTCAGTAACATGTGTGAGAGAAAGCATTGACAAGCATCACACATGTCCAATTTAGCAAAGCACACAATCTCACTTCCAGAAGCCAGCCAGTCTAGCTCTAATATTACTAGCACCATGAAGAGTGGACGTGGCAGAGGTTAGAAAAGAGAAGGAGATAATGATAGCTCGGTATTAACCTAGTGCTGTATCCGAGGAAATCACTGTGGCATGGATACAAGGTTCTTGAAAGCAAATTAGCCCTTTCCTGTCAAAATACTCTGAGATGGTAACAATCAGTATGTCTCTCTGATTTGTAAACCTCTCAGCCCTCTTCAGTCTCTACTCAAAAGTTCATTCTCATTCACTTTCTATAAACCTCATTCCACCCTGGCACTTTGGTTCTGCTCTGGAGGGCTTTCATTTTGTTATTCTCCACCAATGTTTTCCATACTCTTCTGGGAACTACCAAGAGTTGTTAATTGGTATTCTGCACAATTTACCCATTTATCTACTGACGTCTAATCCATTCAGACTAATAGGGACCTTATAGGACAGAGTAGAATTGCCCCATAGGGTTTCCAAAGCTATTATCCTTACAGAAGGAGACTGCCACATCTTTTTCCTGTGGAGCAGCTGGTGGGTTCAAACCATCAACCTTTTGGTTAGCAGACGAAAGCTTAACCACTGTGCCACCAGGGCTCCTTCTACATAATTAAATCATCTATTTTGGGAAAATAAGCTTGGATTCCCTAAGTTTGGAAAAGATTAATATCATATTTCCCATAATTCAATGTGCCATATTACCATATTAAAAGCTCCCAAAAGTTCTATAAGAAAGAAACCTGTTTCAATTTGTTTAACTCAATGTATCCCAAACATATTTGGCCATGGTGGGATACACTGCTAGTTGACCATCCAAAATTCATTCCCATCCTATTCTTGACATGGTGAGAAAAAACAGATTTCCCATCCTCCCTTGCACTTATGGATTGCCATGTGATGAAATTCTGGCCAATGGGATGTAAGGGAAAATCTGCTAAGGCATCGCTAGGAAAGATCTTCCCGATATGTGGGAGAAGAAAAATCTGAAACTGGTCCTTGCTTTCTGCCTTTGAATATGGTTTGGCTGCCTGGAACTGCCATCTTGTGACAAGGAGAATCATAGAGACCTCCATCCAGAGAGCTGTGACATTCCTCAGTCACCAGAATAATGGCAGAAACACCTCTTCCTGGACTTCCTGCAAATAATTTTTATTAATTCCGAGATATATGTTTTTTTTTTTTTTACCTCTGAGATTGCTATTGTTGCCTTAACCTCAGTGACTCCTTACACATGCATGTAAGTGGTTGTACTCCCAAGCCACTTAAGAACCCTTGAAGAAAGAATATGAGCCCTGGTTGTCTAAAAACATTCCACCAACGCCTCGTAAGATCAAGAAAGTGGCAGCATCCAGTCAGAATGAGCACCAGCTGGGGGAATGAAAATCTCAGAGACAAAAGCTCTGTATCACTAACTCTCTTGAAAGTACACAGAATGATATTGTATGCTTATAAATGGATACTAATGAGCAGAGTTTAAAAGTTATTCAGAAGAGGCAAGTGAAGAAGTGGGTTAGGAATACCTCAGTGGATTTACTGAGCTTATATGTTTCTTTTAACATATGTACAAAAGTAACACACAAAAAACCTTTGTCTAAAAAAGCCTAAAAGAGTTCTTTTCCTAAGTTAAAATTGTAAGTGAAAATGTATTATGTCTTAATTTTCTTAGTGGTACATATTTTAAAATAACAATGTCTCTTACAAACCACAGCATTGTAAATTCAATGAAATATGATCTCACTTCTTTAAGAAGCTTTATCTAACCACTCCAACTCCCTGGAATATGCTCTCAGTGCAGCCTGTACAATTGGCATTGAGTGTTGGTTTACCTTCCCTTCCAGACTGTTTATGTTTATTTACTATTGCAATCTTGGGATCTGCCACTCGATACACTTTAGGAGGCAACGAGTTGAATGAATGAACATATGACCATTTATTGAGCAACCCCCTGGGTAAGGTTCAAAATCAGGAAGATCCCCTTTTTCCCTACCCCAAGCCTCCCAGGTCCTAGATCTTAGGGTACATCCTGTTGAACAGGGACTTGGGATGTGTCCACAAGGAGTGTATGAGAAACACTAGAAGGCTGTTGATTCCCGAGGACACTGGGCACATATCTGAGAAAGGAGGACTCCCAGAAGAGACCACACTTGAACTGGCCTTGGGGGACTTGGATGGGTGAAGATGGGAACTAGATGGCAAAAGAAGTATACTTCTTAGTATCTGTCACAACTCAGAGCTGCCACTTCATTCCACCCCAGAAGTCTTTGCATTTCTGTCTGCAGAGAACATGGGGGAAGTTAAACTGTTAATGGGCAAATTGATGTATCCAATTAGTGAAAGAAGCTGCTTAAAAGTTAAAGATTTGTGGGGGCTTTATTTGTATTATTTTATTTTTAAACAACCATGCCCATGCAATAAAAGGGTAGGAGTTAGACTTACTCTGTACACTCTTACACTGTATATTCTCTTGTACTTTTAGAATTTTGTACCATAAACATGTATTAACTGTACACCTTAATTTTTCCTAACACCCACAGCACTCTCACAATGTCACCTTCTGACCCTACTTTCTGGCCT